GCGTATTCATCGTTATTGAATCCTTCACTAGCATATCTATGGTTTGTTATATATTGTGCCTATTTTCTAGCAGTTGATTCGAAATTGACACGAGATTTTATCATTATCTAACGATTTCCAAGCTCTTGTTTTGCATTTTGAGGCCGTCATTCATATTATTTCTCTAGCATCTCCTAACTGCTATATTGTGAGATAAATTTTTAAGCAAAATACGTCAATTTTCGGTTTGTATCAGTCAGTTTTTCTCATATCATCGCCATCTTTTTTTATATAAGAATATACGATGTACTTTTGCCTAGCTTTATACAATCATGACTGGGTTTGTATCGAAGAACAAACTGGAGATATAGTTCGCTCAATTTTGTACAATATCAACATGTTGTACCGCAACCACCATCTGAAACAGGAAAAATTATCAAGATGAGTCGATGAAGGATGTGGCATTCGACTGAGAAATTGAGGAATAAATGTCTTTTTATCAGAGTATGTTTATCTGAATTTGCATTTGTTTAAGCCAATATTTTAGATTCGTTTCTTTCGCTAAAATGTCGGATAATAAACCGTGATTGTGTGCGTATTGTTGATATTTGATAGCTCTCATATTTTGCATCGGAAGTTCAGTTTATGATGAAGAATATGACGCATACATAAAGCGTAACGATCTAAATATGTTTAAAAAAGATTGAATGAATATATCAAGACAGGAACATTATCAAATGTCCAGTTACATATTTCAGTTTTAATTATGATATTTTTACCGGCTACTGATCACAAAGCATTTATGGAAGGATTTTGCTGAATCCATTAGTATAGTTCTCTTCATTATTTTAAGTGTAACATTTTTTGTAACCAATAACGTGTTGCTCATATTATTGTATAATGTTTGTTTTTTGGTGTTACTTTATTACTACATTTATGTCCTTAGATTTATAACAACACCAGTCGTTCATAGGTAAAAAAAATAGTCAAGACATTTTGATTTTGCGAAGGAACCGCCCCAAGTGTTACGTCGCTTATTTCTCGAAACATATATGTTTATAGCACAGTGGGCATCCAGGCGGACATTAGGTGAAAAATCGAAGTTGCTCCTTTTTCAAAAACAAATAGTCTAGAATGTAGCCCTTGAAAAGGGCTATCGAATGGTATATGAATGTCTATTGTGATGTTCACTCCTTCGAAGAGAAAAACGGGTACAAAACAGTACTGTGTTATACTACTTTTAGCGACATCTTGAGAGTTATTTGTTCATTTTACTTGCTTCGTTGCATTAAATGTCATCAGTAAAATCAGTAGCTACACAAAGCACATATCCAAAATCAGCAGAATGAGCGCTATCTATTGCTACCAAATAGTTACTAATTCCACGAGTAACTCAACGTGCTCTACAAAAACGACACATCAACTTCTCGTCATATGAGATTTTAGAATGATTCTCCAGAGACGTATTGGCTCTAGCTGAAACTGTGTATCGTAATGATTGGCTATGGTTACTCTGCAGAGAGATTTCAGTTCGCTTCTGTAACGAATTCACTAGCTGCTAAATAGCTATTGATTGGCTTTGCAGAACTTGAATGAAAAATTTCACGAACTGCTATTCTGGTTATAAAGTGCTTATAATACTTGAAACTTAACGTCGAAAGCTCTCCACATCGAAAATCAAAACTGAAAGTTTATACTGCAGCTAAGACTATCTCATGGTATAAGAAAACACTGACATCGTTCGTAACACTGTTTTGTTCTACGACTTGTCCAAGCGCGACGTTGTGACATTTTTGACACAGTAATTTGAGCTTTTCTCAATAAGTCTAAGAGCTAGAAACTTCGTTCTTGCGCCATTCGACGCAGCTCGCCATACTCTACTTGTGGTATAAAAACGAAGGTTTGTGGTTAAAGACTCGAATTTTTAGAACCGTTGTTCGGCGCTTGACGCTATGACAAAAAAGGCCCTAAATTCGAAGTTCTTCTCATTAAAAGCTAATTTGCTGCGAATTTAGAACATCTAATAAAAAGCGTCTCGAGCAAAGTTTGTAGAGGAGTAAACGAGCTACTGATTGCGATAAAAGACTCTTTCCAACGAGCATCCCTCAATAATTGTGTTTTATCGTTGTGACGCTGTGATACACGTTTTTTCCAACCAAGTTTGGAGCACTAAACATTGCTGAAAGGACTTCATTTTCACATCGGACTTAGTTTTAGGCATCTGATATAGACTAATGGGAAAATAAAGCTGAAAAAATGTTTTCACTTTCTTGGAATTGTGTGAGAACCTTAACGCTTAAAACTTTATTAAAAAGCTTGTTTTGAGTCTAAACTTCAAAAGAGACATACCATCTTGTAGAGAATCGAATTCTCTATCGATTAATGTGGCCTTCCATTTTTATTAGGAAAGTGTCTAGGCGAGGAAATTGAAAATCCAGTTTTCAAAAAATATAAAATTGGATTTTTGGTGCTAAAATTTCACTTTTTTAAAAAAATAATGCGAGATTCGTAATTAGCGCCAAAAATTGCATTTAGTGATATGCTCCTTTCAGTTCTACTCTAAAATAGTTTTTTTCAAAAACTTGATCAGCGAAGTCTCTAGTTACGTGAACAAGCCGTCTAACAGTTTTTTGTAGATTTTCGTAAAAATCTGTCTGTTATAAGTAAGAAATCTTTGTCATTTTCGATACATGCTCTAACTTTGATGATTTCGACGTACTTATTTACTTGATTCGCATCTAACAAATCAAAGCGAAGTGATAGGGCTCATTTTATGGTAGTTCCTCTTGGAAATTCGTATTCGGCTAAATGGGAATGCATACTTTTTTTCAAAAAAGTAATCTCATTTTTGATCGTAGAGATCGCAAAAGGTTCATTCTTACTTCAGCTAAACCAGGGGCGTCTGTCCTGTGGGATGTTTGAGGCACACTGCCTCAAACAAAAGTAAGGCGGTACACTTTTTTGCCGTAGAAATATTTGTCAGGTGGTGCACTGAGAGATCGAACCTTCGAAGTGGTACAAAAGGCCTCAAATATTCAGGTGGGGATAGACGCCACTGAGCTAAACATTCTAAAACAACTCGCACACAGGATTGAGTAGAGCTCAAAAAGTTGCAGTTATGATATAAGTTTTGACGTTCCAAAAGTAAAAACCGATCGCAAAGACCTGAGCTCTTTATCTTGAATAGTTTTTGAATAATTATATCGGTGAAAGAGCCTCAAAAATCCATAACGTTGGGCTCGATTTTCTCAAAAACTACAGAATATCTCTTTTTATTGGCGTATTAATTTACCACTACCCTCTGAGTTGCGCAGGTCGGAGGTTTTGTAAGTCACAAGTCAAGTCAGGTTAACATATAATTTGCTGGCTTTTAAGTGAGAGACAGATTTTGTATTTTTGGAAATTGTGTTTCGTGGTAAAAAATGCCTAATTTAAACGAAATCTCTTACGAGAAATGAATTGACTTGAAAATTTCAAGTCCACTCACAGTCACGACAAAAAAATCTCTCGAGTCAACTCAACTCATGCTCCAAAAAATTTTCGATCAAATCAGATTTGACTTGAGTTGACTACGAAATGATCTTTAACTGTATATCTTACTGAAGTTATAATAGTCGTAACAGTTAATTCCTGTTTCGTGCTATCACCACGATTTTCCATTCCACTCAAGTCACTTTTTTTCCACCAAAGATGTTCTCCGTTTACTTCGTACGAAAAAGTAGCTAAAAAACAGCTTTTTCCAGAAAAGTGGTAGGAACCCTATGGATTTACCAACTGATTTTTTCTGCTAATGCACAAAGAACCAGTAGCTAGGGATGACTGGTGCGCACGGTTGATACCAGTTCGGTAAGGGGTATGCTAAACTCTTGCTGTGTTTTTTTTCTTTGATTATTTACTGAAAAAAGAACAAAGGAGATGCACTGATACTTGGAAAAAATCGAATTGTTCGCTTCGTTCTCGAAGCTTTATCATGTAATACTTTATAAGAGATCAATCCGGGAAGTAGTTTACCAATGAAAAATCGAGTGAATAATGGAAACTGAGATTTCAATGAATATGATCCTTATTATATTTTCAGATAGAGTATATAGCCACTATTCAATAATGAGTTTTTGATATTTTATTAATATAAATATTAATTTCAAAACTTCGGACCAGCTTCGAAGAAAAACAACGGAAACACTGTTCGACAGTAAACACAATTTATCTTTTCCTAAAATCAATAACAGTAGCTTGAAAAACGCTTTTAGCGTCAAGTTTAACATGTAAACAGAAAAATAAAAAAAAACGAGACGTGAATATCACACACATGTATTTGCAGTGCCGAAAAGTCTTTGACTTTTGTACGTTGGGCTCTTAGATCTAAGATTTTGAAGAAAAATCTGTTTAGCGTAGAGTCTTTGTAGTTAAAGTAAAATACTTTTGGCAAGAGTTATACGTACGATATGTCAGTTCTAGTTAACGGTTCAAAATCAAAACTGTTTTTAGAATAACTCGAGCAGTACACAATGGATTTGTTTTCACAAGAGAATATATGTAACAACATCCAATTAGTAAATAGCAAACAGAGAAAAACGAAAGAGCATCTAGTGAAAATCATGATTGTAAGCATTATCTTTTCATATCATCCATAACTGTGATATGAACTATTCTGGGGAAGGCTGGGAGTTTCTACGCAACAACCAGATAGTAAAACAAAAAGCAAATAGTACGCTGATTTTTTGTATTGCTCTCGCTTTCAAAACTCTAGCTGAGAACCTCACTTTTGAGGCAACATCGAGATAAAAAATAGTGCAAATAATTCTGTTTAGACAGTCCAATGATGAACGTTTTACGTCAAAAATGTTTTACCCTCAGAATATGTCGAGCGAAGTGAGTGATAAAAAGCAAAAAAATAAACTTACTGATATCTAGTAAAAAAGAAATTGAATGGTGAAAGAAAAGCAATTACGAACAATTTGTTGCTAAAAAAGATGATTGTATCCAAAAAAAGAGAACAATTCACACCTACATCAGTATAACTAGGGTGATGGATGGACTGAATAGAGTGGTGCATTTGGTTGACCAGCAATGCAAAGGCGAAATTCGTTGTTATCATCAGGCATTGATTGACGCCTTTCATCCGTGGCGACAACAGATAACTGTGTACATGTTGGTGAGGAGACTGGTAGACTGATTGTAGGACACGCTGGAATTGCGACGAAATCGATGTTAATTTTAATGAACATGACATCATCCTGAATGTAGTGACCAAGTGAATCTAATGAGCAGAACTTTTGTATACCAGTGGCTTCATTTGTATCTGAAAGAGGTCTGTGACAAACGACACTTTTTGAATCTGGGTGGAATGTTTCAGTGATGTGTCGCTGTTGATTTGACTGATCGATGAGACTGAAGGTAATTTCGAAATTGAATGGCCAGTGGAGAATAGAGTCGAATTCTCCTTGCATTATCATAAAATATAATGAGATGTGTTTACAATGAGCTTCACCATCACCGTTTAAATAGAGTATGACTTTCATTTTGTAGCCGGTGGATGAAGAGAAAAACGGTGGTGAATTGAGATAGGACTGAGGATCTGACCGAGCAATATCAATTTTATTCTGAACATCTGTTATTTTCCATGTTAGGCTACCGTCATGACCTGCTGGTGGTGGAATACTGTTCTTTACATTCGTTAATTCTTCTTGCAGACGCAGATGATTGAGATGAATTCCATTAAGATGCTGATTCGTTTCGGAAACTGATGATTGTAACTCGTTTATGTGATATTTGCATTTGAGTAATACGTTATTTAATTGGTTGATTCTGGTAACCAACAGAGTGTGATCGTTATTTATCTGCTCAGCATCACGAATTAATGTTGTTAACCATGATAAATGTTGTATTAACATAAGTAGATAACGCTGATGCGTTTCGCTCGAGTACTGTGATGATCTTTGCTCCTAATACAGAAAAATTACAAAGTTTAGTTTGCTGCACCTCTGGGAGTCATTGCACGAGAAAGGCGACTGTTTCTCACAGAAGTGTGCTCAAGGACTATTTCAGATTTTTTTCTAAATAGTCTCATCTTGTAGATCACCGACAACCTATACGTCCAAATTTGTAGGCTTCCGAACTTTTCGTTCTGTACATATGAATTTTTTCAACTGGAGTAAAGTTCGAGAAATTATGCGCGTGAAAAACGTATATTTCGTTTTTCTCGTGAA